AGAACTTTTAAGTCTCTCAAACTTTACTGCATTCATACAAGAGTACTAATTTATACGAAGAAGTGAATAAACTAATTTCAATATGAGATCTCAATTGTTTGAGTCGCTACCACAGTTTGTTATATAGTTGTTAATCTATTGGGGTGGCAGTTATTTATATTTATTATTTTAATACTGCTCTGAAAAGAGAGATGAAGATCTCTTTAACTCTGGTATATATATGAAAAATAAAAAAAACTGTAGTCGTAGGTTTTATATGGTTCCTCTTGCAAAAGTTATTGCGGTGTTTATTACCTCCTCTTTATTCTCAGATTACCTCCTATTTAAAGGAACATCCCTTCTGCTTTTTTGAATCCCACAAATTTAATCTTCGTTTTCAGAAATACAGGTAGTCATGGTATCTGCACAGAGTGGTTCACTGCGAAAAATGGTGAAAGATTGTATTCCTCTTGAAAATGGTAAAAGATTGAATGTTTACAAATTTTTGTTTCAATTGTGTTAAAGATTTGATTTTTTCATTGTTCAATTCTTGATTCATATTGTGTTATATCTTTTATATATATATATATATATATATATATAAAAAGTAGAGTTATCTAATTGTGGTGTTGACACGTGGCTGATGAGATGGCGGGTGATGTGGATTCTTAGTGCCAGCTTATGACCGTTTCGCATTTAAACAGACCCTTCGGGATAATGAATCTCTTCAGCTCCTCCTCTTCAATACTCACCTCTCTGAGATAAAAGTGGATGACATCGGGCAATTTGAGGATACCGTGAAGTTAGATGTTTTCTTCTTCTTCTTCTTCTTCTTTCAACGTGGGAGTAAGGTAAGCCCTAGACCTACCTTCTTCTTCTTCTTATTTCTATTCAATTTTTTTCAATTTTGTAGTAAAAATTTCAGGTAGCAATTAGATTGATTGTTGATAAATTGGTAAAGATGTAGAGTAATTCTTAGCTTTGGATTTTTTTCGTTTTGCTGGATTGAATTGATTGAATGTTATGAAAATAGGGCTCCTGGGATGTGAAAAGACCTACAGGTTATGGTGGATGGACTGCTTGAGGCCAGCTGATTTGAAAAACTATAGGTTAATCGGTGGAAGAACTGCCAATCTGAAAGGGCTTTGGTGAAATCCTCTCTTTCACAGGCATGGGCTTGACATAATTTGCTTGCGATTTTACTTTTCTCATTACCTGTGCAATACATATTCTTAGTGCCATACTCACCTCTTAATGATTATTCTTTTTGGGCCAAGCAAGTAATAAGCCAGGCACAACATGAAAAACAAATCAATTTGATTTTTTTCCTTTACAACCTATATTGAATATTTCATAGCTGTTTAGTGCTATATATGTTTGTGCTTCATGTACAACATGAGCACGGCGAGAACGCCAACTGAAACCAGAGAAACAGAAGATTTGCTCCCGATAACATATGATACCAGGAGGCACTCAATACTTCCACGTGTTGGCTGTTACTCATAAGTCTTGGTTTTTTTATTACTTTAATCCATTTCCTTATAAGTTTTAATATTCTGGATAAATATAATAAACATGCCTCTCTCTTTGTGTTGTAAGTGGTTTACTTCTTCTTCTCAGGGTGCAACGTAGTTGGTTTTCTAAACATACAACCATCAAATTTACATCACTAGATACTCATTCATGCATTTAATACATAAATAATTAATCATATGTGGTTTTAAAATGGATTCCTTGATTACCTACTGAAACATGGTTTTGGCCACTACTACCACGGATTTTGATGTAGGAGTGTACCATTTTCCAGGCTACATCATTTTACACTATTGCTTCATACTCCCTTTGGTCCCATTCAAGTATCTCTCCAGACAAATTTGGTAAGATTTCATGTCTATAACTTTTATTGTTCATAGGCTGCTTTAATTTCTTAGTTTAGTTAA